TGCTGAGTGACTGATCTCTTTTCTCCTCCTGTTATGGCCTGAAGACCATCTGAGGCCTAGGCTGCCTCCTCTGCTGGCTGGGTTATAGCTCTGTCATGTCTCTCTGGAGACCCGGTTGTATCCTTGCTTCTCGGTGGCTGTGATATGGATCTAGCCTTCCCCTCCCTGCCTTTCCTTGCACCCCTCCTCAGGCACCTGGGTGTGTCAAATTAAACCCCAGGTCTTTGCTTGTGTGGCATTAAATGTGCTGAATAAAGGATTGTTGCTTTCAGCTTACTTTTTTTTTTTTAGCATTACTTCCATGAAAATCTGATTCCCTCTAAATAAAGCTGAGACAGTAATGATCTTATAGATCTTACTGGGTGGTAGGAATGCTTTCTGAAACATGACCCATAAACATCCAGCCAGCCGCCATGTGAAGATTACAATCAAGGAATCAATCAATTCCTATCAACCACCTTCCAAGGCAGCCCTTAGCACTAATCGTAAGGAAACATGTTTCCTATATTGAGTGAAATTCTACCTCCTTGTAACTTTGGTCCATTGGTCCAAATTATATCCTCTAGTACTAAGCACAATAAATTTAATCTCTCTTCCATATGTCAACACTTCAAATTTTTGAAAATTATAGTCATGTTCCTTTAGATTTCTCTTCTTAAGGTTACACACCTCCAATTCCTTTGAAGATCATCACATGGGCTGGTCTCAAAACTCTTCATTATTTTGTTCCTCTCTTTCGAATGTTCTCCAACTTATCCAAGTGCTTCCTCACACTGAAAACTGACCTTGATGTTGGTCAGCAAATAGAGTACAGAAGAATTATTACCCCTCCAATCCTCTATATGATGCTTCTCTAAATATAGTCTAATATTTCATTATCTTTTTATACTTTAATATGACATTTTGACTCATATTTAGAATGCAGTCCACTAAAAGCCAACTAAAATTTCATCTTTTTCAGACAAGCTGGTGTCTAAGCACATACCATCTTGTGCTTCTGAAGGTGATTTTGTGAACCCAAATGATGGACTTTACATTTATAACAATAAATTTCATCCTATTAATTTTAGCCTGTGGGTTTATCTTGTCAAGATCCTTTTACAGCCTGAATTTGCCAGATAATGCGTAAACTATGGTTTCTAGTTTCGTACTATCTACAGATCTGATCATCATGTCATGTATGCTTTTTTCTGAGTCACTGATAAAAATGGTCCACAACATTAAGACCAGAGCTATGTAGCATTCTTCAGGAGGACATACTGGCCTTCCCGCTTTCAGACTAACATCAACCCAATAATTAATTAACATTCTTTGGGTCTAATCATTCAATCATTTCTGAATCCATTTAACTGTACTAAAATTTAGCTCACTATCTAAGGGATTCTTCTGTTTGACAGTGTCTCTTCTTTATCTACTTAATTGAATTTTACTTAAAAAAATTTGAGGTTAAATTTTCTGTTATTCTTCAAATTGTTCACAAAGATAAGTTGAAAGAGACTTTGTCATGTCTTACTGAAATCCAGGCATATGCTTCTTGAATGAATACTCTGTCAATGGCATTTCCCATATCTATTACCTTAGTGACCTATCAAGAAAAGAAATAAAGTGAAACTAGTGTGACTCCTTTTAAAAATGATTTATTAATGCTCTTTTTAAAAAACATTTAAATTTCCCACTGTCTTAAAATATAAGCCTCATTCTATACCCCTCTTCCCAGAAGCTTCATCATGTTTCATCATTGGTCTTCTGAAGTCACGATGGGTCACTGCATTGGTCAGAAGTCTGAACTCTTTTCGTATTGTTTTTCTTTACATTATCATGGTCATTGTGTAAATAGTTGTCCTCATTCTGCTTACTTTGTTCTCAATCTATCAAGTCAACAAGCACTTAGTAAGCACCTACTATGGGCCAGGTACCAACTGCCAGATGTTAGGGATGCAAATATAAAAGAAGAAACAATCTCTAATCTCAAGAAATTTCTATCCTAATAGAGAGATTATATATATATACATATATACACATACATATATATATGTGTATAGAATGAATAAATATGAAGAAAATAAATAAACATGCAGTAAATTTAAGGTAGTTTGGTACCAAGTAGTTAAGGAAGGTGGGGACTAGTGTGGGAGAATCAGGAAAGGGTGATGCTTGAGGTACATCTTGAAGGAAGAAAGGAACTTTGTAAGGTACAAGTAGGAAGGGACTTCATTCCAAGCATAACAGATGGCCAGTGAAAAGACAGAGAAGCAAAATATGGGGGAAGGGGACAGGAAGGGGGAATGAGAATAAGGTGATACAAGGAGCCTGGAAAGATATGATGGGGATAGAGTCTTTGTAATGGGCTTTTAAAGCTAAATAGAGGAGTCTATTTTTTATCTCAGGGACAAAAAAGAACAAAAGGAGTTTATTGAAAAGGGGAGTGAAGGATCAGATCTGCCTTTAAGGAAAATATTTTGCTAACTGTGGGGAAGATAGGCTGAAGTAGGGAGAGACCTGAGGTAGGGATACCAGTTACTATACACATTATTACTGCTGGAATCTCAGGTCTAATCTAAATATTGGATGATAAAAAAAATTATACCATAAAGGAGGGAAAAAAAGATTTGATGACTCAATGAACAAGATATGGAGGAGGGGACAAGAAATTGTCCAGGAGTGTGTTCTGTGAGATGTGAGAAACAGACAATTTCTATTTAAAGCCAGAAGTGAGCAGAGAGGTGAGACAGCTGGCCTTGGTACTAAGAGCCTGGCAGACTGAGCCTGAGGTCCTGTCCAAGCATCAGACAAGGTAGCCAGGATCCATCCTGAAGGTAATTCTCTTTACTCCTGTAATCCTCCACTCTGGTACTTTTTGCTGAAGAGAGTAATTTGCCCAATATTTGTCTTCTTTGGAATTGCTCTTTGTTTTACCCTAAAAGGGAAGAGAGCAGTGCTGGGAGATGTTGTGGTCACCTGAAGAAGTGACAAATTCATGTTGTCCAGTCAGGAGGGAAGGGCTGGGAAAATTTGTATGGAGATGTAGTCTAAAGGGCGTCCTCAGAAAGAAATGGTTTTCTTAGGTTCTATAATTACCAAGGGGATATCCCTGTCTTACAGTCCCCAGATCCTCTTTCTAGGCTGTGATTATGGTGATTTTTTTTTCTTTAAGCTATAGTTCTACACACAGGACATTGGGCCATACTTCTTGCCTCCCTGGCCACAGTTAGAGGGTGCCTCAGTGCCTTGCACTGCAGCTGAATCACCAGTTGCTGTTCTGCAGAGATTTAGCCCCTTGTTCCTTGGTCTTCTTATCAATGAGTAGTCCTTGGGGACTTAGCCACGAGTTCCATTCATCATCTCTCAAACTGCCCTGTGTCTACCAATATTAGGAAGTTTGAAAAGTACTGGAGCCCCTCACTCACAAAAAGGTAGTATATGGAAGTAAACCAGGCTAGACTATTTCCTCAACAACTTGCAAAATTTTCCTCTCATGTTCATTTCTTCTATTAGACTATCTGTCAGCTCAAGGAAGAAATAACTTCATCTAGATTCTATAATCTGTCTCATCTCTGGTGCCAGAGGTTCTTGTACCTACAGAATCACTCTTCTTCCCTTCCCTTGAGGTTGGGGCCAACAGAGAGGACCACTTCCCCAGGAGCTAGAATAACAGAACCCAGTTACTGTCAGGGGCTGAGGCACCCAGGGAGGTAGCTTGGGACACTGGAAAGAATGTTGTATTTGAAATCATAGGATCTGAATTTGAATCCCACCACTACCAGTTATCCCTGGTGTAACCTTAGGTTAGTCACAAGCTCCCTGAGGAATTATCCTTTTATCAAGAGATAAAATTTTCTTTCAGCCTGTTTTGGGGCTTTGGGCTAGATTACTGGGCAAAATCTTCCCCACCTACGAGACCTGCCTGACCATGGGGTTTCAACCAAAAAAGAAGATGCAAAGTCTAGAGCACTGATTCTCAAGCTTTTTGGCCTCAGGATTCCTTTTCACTCATAAAAAAAATTAAGGATCCTCCTTCAAAGAGCTTTTGTTCATGTTGATTATACATATTGATATTTGTTGTATAAAAATTCAAACAGCGGCTGCTAAGTGGCACAGTGGTTAAAGCACCGGCCTTGGAGTCAGAAGGACTTGAATTCAAATCTAGCCTTAGACACTTGACACTTACTAGCTGTGTGACCCTGGGCAAATCACTTTACACCATTGTCTAGCCCTCTCCCCCAAAAATTCGAACACCCTAGTATTATTAATAAGATAGTTTCAATCTTGGTAATTCCCTGAAAGGGTCTTAGCCACCCCCAGAGATCTCAGGACTACATTTTGAGAACCACTGGGCTAGAGGATGGGCTAGGGTTCTGTTTCATCTTTCTAACCTTCATCCCTTCTCTCAATAGATCACAGTTCCTGGGAAATGAAGCCAGACTTTCCATAGTACATGTGATAATGGGGGACTCTTTCACTGAATCTAGGAGCAACCTATATTCCAAAAATTGAATGTAAGCTAGAATACAACAATAGGCAAATAGTGTTGTGTGGTGGAAGAAGCACTGGGCTGATGGTCAGGCGATCTAGGTTCCAATTCCAATTCTCCCACTAATTTGCTGTGTGACTTTTTTAAGGTCACTTTATGATTTTTTGTATCTTAATTTCCTCATCTGTAAAATAAAGTAGATGATATCTAGAGTTTAGAGTGAGGTTAGATAAGACCCCATGGGCTAAAATTCTACTGGAGAAACTTCAGTCCAGGATGAATGGGAAGCTGTCAAGAATGAAGCTGTGAAGATACAAATGTAAAGGATTCCAATAATGAGGAAAGTCAGGAGTTGTATGAAGAGACTGAAGTAAATGCCTAGGGAATTCAACAACCATCACAAAATGTAACAAACTGTCCAAAAAGGGATCTGAAATTTTTAGTGGGTTACAAGCTTAATATCAGTCAATAGAGTAAAATAAAAGCCAAAAGAGATAATGTACTCTTAGGCTTCACTGGGACAGGCATTATGGTCAGGAATGTGGGTGGGATAGTCCTGCTATTCTCTCAGAATTATAGATTTGGAGCTAGAAGGGACCTTTGATAACTTTGAGTCCATTTTCTTCATTTTGCAGATTTGGAAACTGAGTCTGAGAGATTAAGTGACTTGTCCTGACTCACGCAGCTAGTAAGGGTCTGAGGTAGGATTCAAACCTGATCTTTCTGACTCCACTCAATATTCTATCCATTATGCTGAGGAATCAAAGGACATGACAAATTTTCTAACCCTTACTGCTTATTACCAGATTGCTCTCCAAAGAGACAGCACCAATCCACTACTTCATGTGGAGTGGAGAGTTCCTGTTTCCCCACAACTATGCCAACATTATATTTCATCATGCTTAACTACCTTTGCCAGTGTAATGGGTGCCTCTAGTTTGAAGAGTTCTCCCTCTCTCTGAATCTCTTCTGACCCTTTCTATGACAGAGAAAGAAAAACACTTCTGTGATTCAAATTGAGTTGCTGATCCTGCTATTAACTTCAGGTGTGAATGGTTTTTTGTTTGTTTGTTTTCTTTTGTCTTGCCCATCTCAGGGCTCCTTTTTTGGGACCAGGTCTACTAGAAGAAGATTGATCACTAACTATCACGTAGAGGGCAGTGGTATGGCCCCAAAGGCATCTGTTTCTCCCTCTGGTCCCTTTCTCAGTGAGAATGAGAAGTACTGCAGCAGACAGGAGGGGAGTTCTGGTTGATAAAGTGGCCCTGATCACAGGTTCCACAGATGGGTGAGTGCTACTGATTGGGGTTCAGAAAGGCATAGCTACTCTGAAATTTTCATCTCACAGCTTATGGTTCTCATTCCTGGTCCTCTGAAAGGGAGCATCTCTCTGTCTCTTTCCCCCAATCTCCCATAGGATTGGTTTTGCTGTTGCACAACATCTGGCCAGAGATGGGGCCCATGTGATTGTGAGCATCAGAAAACAACAGAATGTAGATTGTGCAGTTGAAAAACTTCAAGGACAGAGTGCTTCAGGAACCGTGTGCCATGTGGGAAAGGAAGAATATTGTAAGAGGCTAGTGTCCATGGTGAGAATACTTCTTGGCAAGGATGAGTATGAATATCACTGAGGAGACCATCTTTACAATTCCATATTCAGGTCTCAAAGGGACAGTGTCCTGGCAACAGTTTCATTTGTCCACTGTCCATCTGTCCACTGAGACTTAACCTCAACTCCTCTGATTTCCATCTAGGCTTCTGCAAAACATGGGTTTATCAACTTCCTGGTTTGTGTGGCAGGTGTCAGCCCTATGACTTGGAGTACACTGGGTGCCAGTGAAGAAATGTGGGACAAGGTAAGACCACACCCAGGATGGATCCTCCAAGAAGAGAGGCAGACATTTGCCTCATAGTTTGTGGGGTAAATTGAAGCATCAGTCGAGGTGAGGAAATCTATGTCCTTTGGCAGCCTCTGATAATTAGAATCATAGATCTAGAACTGTGGGGTGGGAAGGATTTAGAAGTGATCAAATCCAGCCTCTTCATTTTACAAATGAGGAAAAAGAACCCTAGAAAGGTCGAGTGACTGGCTCAGTGCTCCTGAGTCGTTTCAAATGCACAATTAAAAGGTTGCTTTGTAAACATTTAGAAAGGGAAGCAGTGCTAAGAGCTAGAATAGTTTGATTAAGAGAATATCATTCCATATTGATTTCATGTTTCTTCACTGAGCACATTGGGAACATGTAATAAATTCTTGTTGACTGATTGTTATTGTTGATTGAGAATGTTACTACACTGACAGCTCATAGGTCTCATTTATCTGGATTTTAGTGCATCATTCAAAAAAATCTCCTGTATATTCCTTGAAGATAAAGACAAATAAATGTAGGGAATAGAAGATAAAATAATCTGGACCCAAAGTGGAGTCATGAATTAGTTAATGTTACCCCAGTCTACTTTTTATTGGGCCACCACTGCTCCTAAGTCCAGCTGAGTGGTGACAGGAGGTGGTGAAGTTTCCCTTTACACCATCCTTTTCATGGTTTTAGATAATGGATATTAACATGAAAGCACCAGCCCGGCTTTACCACACGTGGTGACCCTAGGAGAAAAGGAGGAAGAACAAGACATTTGGGCAAAACCAGATCCGAGGTAAGTGAGACCCAGGAAAACCAGTTCTCCTTGGGAGAGTCAACCCCACTTTCCAGATTTCTCTCTGTGTTTACATTTCCATGACTTTCTCTGGATTTAGAGAAGAGGAATGATCTTCCCTCAAACTGTAACCAGGACCTGAATGATCACTACCTGTCTCTTATGAAATGGGACTGCTGATCAGAGTCAGGGACTGTCTGGCTCTGCTTGGACCTCCCTGTTTGGATTAAAAAGTCAATGTTCTACATTTGGAACAGAAGAAATTACATTAGATCAGCAAATTTTTATGAACCATGTGCTATGTACAAGCACTAGGACAGGTTCCTGGAGATACAAAAACAAAAATGAAATAATTCCTGCCCTCAGGGAGTTTTCATTTTAATGGGAGAATACAACATATACACAAGTAACCATAAAATATAGAGGGTAATACAGAGTAATACCTGAGGAGGTGGGGGTAGAGACAGAATTAGGAAAGGCCTCCTGTAGGAGGAGGCAATCTAAGCCATGCTTTGAAGGAAGCCAAGGATTCTATTTTAAATGTTCTCTGTCATTCTTTCCATATAAACAGAGTTGTATTATTCCTTCTCAAGGATGACTACCAAACCTGGGCTCTAATGGGCTATTAAGTCATTTCATAAGGGAATTGCCCATCACTGTAAGGAGGAAGCTGCACGTGAGGTTTTGATTCATCTGTAATCATAACCATGGCTAGGACACAAATAATAATTCAGCTGTGCTGCTACTAACTGGGCCTATTTAAGTCAAAAGCATCAGATTACATTCTACCTTGTATCCTACTTTTCATATTCATGTTGTAACTGTGCCTCTTGGGTTGTAAGGTCTTTGAGAAGTGAGGGATGTGTCATTTCCTATTTTAGCTGTTTTTATTATTTCTTTATCTCCAGTATTTAGTATAGGTCTTAGAACATAGTTGGTGCTTAATTACAGAATCAGATAATTTTTGAGTGGGAAGTATTATCAGAGGTCATAGCATCCAACTCTGCTATTTGACTGATGAAGAAACTGAAGCCAAGAAACATTAAGTCATTTTTTGCCTAAAGTCACAAAGATATCAATTAGCAGAGATGGAATTTGAATCCAAGTCTTCTGACTCCTAAATAGCAGTTCCTTCCATTACACCTGGTTGCTGATTGAACATATGCAGAAGTATGTCTACCAAAGGTGAAGTTTAGCTGAGTGTGGCCTCAGGATAGAACCTTGATTCCTCCCCTCCAGGGAAAAGCCCATCCATCCTCCTTCACCCTTTCTTTCCCCAGCAAGCATCTAATCATCTGACCAAACTCAGCTCTCAATGTTCCCTCTCTCTTTGTAGGACAAGTGCTGTGGTTTTTGTTTCCTCTGTTGTGGCCTATGCTCCTGAGATAGTAAGTGTTGTTCTAATCTTCAACTCTTGGTATGAGGGGTGGTTCATGAGGGAGGCTTGACAATTACATCCACCTGAGCTTGGAAGGGAGGGCTCAGGCCATAGGGATGTGTCTAACAAGAACATTCCTGGAAATTAAAGACAGAAACCGCCTCCTCTCTTCATCTCTCACCTCCATCAAAATTTCATGTGAGGTTGATTGTATGTGACAGGAACCAAATCAATTATCCTAAAGGAGCCAGGGGCATAAAGGAAGGAAGCTTTGTGTTTTATCCCCCCATCATATGTGCATTTAATGTATTCATTCAGCCATTTATTCTTAGGTAAAAAAAGGTTTAAAATACACATGCATATTACTGTATGGGCTTATAGACACAAAGTCATTGAGTAGTACCATCAGAGAGTGTCTTCCTTATATTTCCTGCACCTAAGCAAAGCCCTGAGTGGGCTTAGCTCTGTCCAGAGTTCTGAACTTAGGCCACCAGGCCTCCTCCAGATTGGGACCCAGCAGGTGGAAAGGGTTGGGTGGGAGAAGACGGAGGGGGAGAGGAGGCAGCAATAGTGTTGTCTCTGGCTCTGGCTGACCTTTCCACCTTTTTCTTCAATTTATAAGTATTCATTTTCTCTTCCTCACTCCATCTAATGAAAAAAAGCAATATCCAAAAAGAGATTCCTTATAACAAATTTGCATAGTCAAGCTATGTCTAAAAATATAAATCTCATTCGGCATTATGAGTCTTCTCTCTCTGTAGGAGGGTGAGTAAATCCTTGGTCTTTGGTGTTCTGGAACCATGGTTTGGCATTGCATTGACTAGCATTCTAGAACCTTTGAAAGTTGTTTTTCTATTTAATGCTATTGTCATTGTATAAATTGCTCTCCTAGTTCTGCTCATTTCACTCTTCATTAGTTCATCCAGGTCTTTCCAATTTTCTCTGCAACTGTCCATTCTGCCATTTGTCATGGCCCAATAAATTCCATCAAACCCATATGTCATCATTTGTTTAGCCATTAGCAAATGGGGGGGGGTGCAACTCGTAGGTTTCCAGGTTTTTTTTCCCTATTGCAAAAAAAACTGCTAAAAATAGTTTTGTACTGGCCTTTTCTTTTTTGATATCTTTAGGGGCATAAACCCAATAGTGGTATTAGTAGGTCAAAGAGAGTACACTGTATTCTGACTTTGAAGTCATCATTCCAAATTGCTTTCTAGTATAGCTGAAGCAAGTCACATTTCCACCAACAGTGCCTTAGGCTACCTGTTATCCTCAAATTCCAAAGGCTCCATGTTTTAATATATGTTCTCAAGAGAGGCAGCATGGAGGAGTAGAATGTGTTGAGTTTGGAGTCAGGAAGATCTTGGTTCAAATCCCACCTCTGACACTTATTAGCTGGGTGACCATGTCAGTTCATTTCACCCTTTTGAGCCTCAGTTTCTTGTCCTATAAAATAACTTGTAAAATGATATAAAATGACTTGTAAAGGAAGGGGTCATACTAGATGTCTTGTCAGGGCCCTTTCAGATGTAAATCTCTAATCTTGTGCAATCTAATCTGAGAAGGGAATCTTATTGGGCCACCAATTCCAAGAGCTTTTCCTTGCCCTCTCTCACTCTTTGGTGCCTCTTTATGTGGGGAAGGGAGTAGTAAATATCTATGACTGCTTATCATTTAGAGGGCACAGCTTGGTCCTGTCCAAAAATTCTGTGCCACTGTTTAAGATTTAGTGCAGGGGCAGAGCTTAGTGACTATGTCATGGTCCATCCCCTTCATTTTCCAGATGAGGACACAGGAGCCCTGAATAGTGAAGTCACTTGTCCAAGGTCATACAGTATAAATAGTGGAGCCAAGATTTGGTTCCAGGATTCTTGACTCCAAATTTAATTAACTTTACATTGCACTACTCTTCCTTTCTTTCATCAGTGGCTTAGTTTATAAAGGGAGGTGATAGGAATTGTTATGTGTTTCCAATCCTAGGCTTTGGGTCCCTACAATGTCATCAAGACAGCCCTCCTGGGGCTCACCAGAACCTTGTCTTTGGAGCTGGCACCAAAGGGCATCCGAGGGAACTGCCTGGCACCAGGAGTAATCAGGACCCAGTTCAGCCAAGTGGTAAGGACTTGGTCTTCCTCTCCTTGAAGCAGCTCTCATCACCACCCCTGCTCTGTAGAGACCTGAACAGTTAAGGGCTGGGGCCCTCAGACTTCAGTTCTGCAGCTCTGAGAGCTCCAACTCAAGAAGACCTTCCTTTGCCTGTCAGGTATTGGAGGCCTGCTCAACCCCCACCTGGTTGTTGTCCTTTCCAAGAGGCAACATTTCAGGCCCTTTTTGAGCTTTATTATTGCTGTCTCAGACTCTTATATTGTCATTCTTGAAGAGTATGAGGATTGTTGTGGTCGCCATCCGTAGACCTAGCAGGAAAAGAAATGCAGGACCCATCCTTTCCACTACCTGCCCTGAATCCTGTCTGCTGTCTATTTTGTTAGGATAAGAACAGGGATACCTGTCCTCCAGGATTCCTGTTCATCTGCTTCACACTTTGCATATCTCATCTTTCAAGAAGAGCAGTAATGTTTTCCTCAGAAACCTCATGTAAATTCTGACCCAGAACAAATGGTGTGGGATTGGGGTCATGGCCACCAAAGCCTCTATCTCAAAGGAAAACTAAGTGGGTAGTGCTAAACTTTTGTCTTTCCTCTTTTCCCCTCAGGTATGGAATGATAAAAATTTTCTAGAGAATGTCGTGAAACAACATAGACTTACAAGGTAGTTGTATTGGGACCCTTGTTCTTTAAAAGAGTATTGAGAAGGGAAGTTTCTAGGGTATTCTTTTTTTTCATTCTTCACTTTTTCTTCCACCAATGCTATTCTGGTCATCCCAGTGTCAGTGTAACCCTCAGAAGTTTCTGTGTGTCTCTGTGTAGCCCAGTCCCATGCTCAACCCTAGGAAGTAATAGGGTCTCCACAGAATGAGGAAAGGCTTCTAGTTTTTTTCTGTTTTTCTTCTAATTTTTTTCAACAGCAAGACCAGTCAATGGGGTCAGAGGGAGATACGGCAATAAAGCATAGCCCAGCCTCCTTTCTTTCTTTGTCTCCCTGCAGGGTGGGGTGTCCAGAAGAATGTGCTGAGTTGTGTCTTTCCTGTGTTCTCCAGACTCCAGCTACATTACAGGAGAAACTATTATGGTGTCAGGTTTTTCTCCACGACTCTAAGGGAGTATGGCCAACAACCTCAATCCTTAAAGCATGGTCCTAAAGAATAGCAGGCTACCTCTTGGGACCAAGCAGATTTCAGGATTTCAGGTCACACAGTTGGGTTTTTCTGATATGTAGCTTTTATTTGTGGGTGTGAGGAAGAAAAGAGGGGAAGAGGGTTCAGCTTGTGGAAACTGGGTTATCTCACTTGTGAACATGGAGTTAGCAGTTCACAAACATCCCAGAAGAAAAAATTCCATTTTTTTTGGTGAATGACTTTAGGTTTGGGATCAGAGGAGCATATGTTTAGAGTTGAAGGGGAATTAAGTAGTCATCTAGTCTATCCTCTCATTTAAAAAATAAATTTAATTTTTTTCATTGAACAAAAATTGATTTTCTCTTCCTTTTATATCCTCCCTATACAATAGAAAGCAAAAGAAAAACAAAACCCTTGTTAACAACTAGTCAAGCTAAACAAGTTCCTGTATTGGCCATGTCCAAAAGAAAGATAGATCTCTCATTGTGTACCTTGAGTCCATCATCTCTCTGTCAGGAGGTGGGGAACATGTTTCACCATTGGTCCTTAAGTCTTTCAAAGTTGTTTTTACAGTGTCATTATTTTATAAATTGTTCTCTTCATACACTTCACTGCATCAGTTCACACAAATATTTCTAGGTTTCTCTGAAACCATTCCTTTCTTCATTTCTCACAGCATAGTTGTAGTGAATTATTATTTGTTATATTGCATATACCATAATTTCTTTAGCCAATTCTCCAATTGATAAGCACCCCCTTTATTTTCTAATTCTTTGCCCTACAAAAAACACTGCTCCAAATATTTTTGTACACATTGGCCCTTTTCTTCTCTCTTTGGGGTATCAGCTCACCAGTGATATTTTTGGGTCAAAGGACATGAAAGTCCAGAGATTTTAAGTGACTTGCCCAAAGTCACACAAGTAATAAGAGGGAGAGATTTGAATCCAGGTCTTCTGAGGCCAAATTCAGAGCTTCTCTCATGATGCCAGGCTGTTCATAGTTAGTCTGGTCCCCCTTCTCTGCCACCTCAAGAGGTTAGACACTGATATCACTTTGATAGGTTAGATCGGAGCTCTACTTTTTTCTTTTAGGATTCTACTTTTGCATGGAAAAGTGAGTCCTCAGGTTTATGAATCAGATGAACTTTTAAAATAAACCACATTCAACAAAGCTTTTAAGAGAGTGGGAGGAGGGACAAGAAGTTTCTGTATGGCCTACAGGTTGAACTGTGTTGACATAATCTAGTTTCACAAATCAATGGAATTTCCTACTCAAATTGGGAGGATTTTCTCCTTTTTAGGTCCTAGGTCTGCTTGAGCAGGATAGGTAAGGCCTCAAGGTGTTAAATACAATTTCTTTCTGAATAATCTGACTGAAGAGAGTTGGGTTTGGTAGGGGCAGTAAGGTCCCCTAATTCAAGATGACCCCCAGCAAGAGGATGGGACTAAGCCTAGCCTGTTTTGCCAGAAGACATGGAATCTAAAGGAGACAGTACAGACCCAAGGTAGAATGTTAAATCCCAAATTCTTAATCCTCATTGCCTCATATTTAATTTTAAATATCAATCTCCCTGACAGAGTATAGTTCTACCATTTTAAAAGTTTCTGTTGCATGTTTATGAGTATTCTGTATTTGGCCTTGTTTTCTGTGCAGGAAATAAGCACTGATCCCATCCCTGATTTACGCTGTACATTAAGTACCTTTCTGTTTTCCCCTTTTGGAGATATCTTGTTTGTCCTTTGTTTTCTTTTCTTTTTTTTCTTTTTTGCTGAGGCAATTGGGATTAAGTGACTTGCCCAGGGTCATACAGCTAGTAAGTGTCATGTGTTGTGTGTCTGAGATGGGATTTGAACTCAGGTCCTCCTGACTCCAAGGCCAAAGCTCTATCCACTGTGCCTCCTAGCTGCCCCTTGACCTTTGTTTTCAAAGAGAACTAATGACTTCATGGGGTGATGTCTTGAATGGTGTGTGAATTGGATTTAAGTGAGGCAGAGTTGCATAAAGTTGTCAGCCTCACTCTCTCTTCCAAAGTCATCTAAGTCCAGTGGCAAGACAAAAGTCAAGATCACTTTGGGGTCTTTGATGTCTGACCAAACTCAAAGTGCTCCACAACTCTGCTTCAGCTGCCTTCTTGGCTGTTGGAACAAATTGTTCTCATCAGCCCATTCCAGTAGGGCAAGTATTCACATGCTTGGGTAGACACCCCCCTAACACACTTACTGTTTGAGTCTTGTCAGTTACCCTCAACTTGCTTTAGCCTGTCTGCCAGGATGGTTTTACTGGGGTGTGGTCACTGAGCCTGCTCTAGCTTCTTGAAACCACCGGTGAGAGTTGAGTGACAGGTAGATACCAAAGGTAGACGAGGAGCCCTGAAAAGAGTTCAGCAACCCCTCATACCACAGATTCGAGTCCTTCTTTAACACCCAAGAGATTGAAAGTATAAGGAATAAGCTCATAGTACCAAGAGGGAGTACAATGTGTCAAAAGTGTTTGATAAAAAGCAGCCTAACTCCTCTCATTGGAGGCCAGTCTTTTGAAAACTGAACCCCGTTCAGACGACATGCTTAGATCAAGAGCAGATGGGCCTCTTAGTTGGGAAGGGAATGAGTCCAATGCCCCAGCTTCCTGGGATAGGTTCCTTAATATTAGACTAATAGAGCAAGAAATGGATAATCTAAATAGAGTAATCTCAGGAGAACTGAGAGGCCATTAAAAACTTACCTTGAAAAAATTATATCAGAGCCAGATGGACTGATAAATGGATTCTAGTAACTCCTATATTATATAGACCATTTCAAAATATAGAGAAAGAGGAAAATGCTGTCCACATCCAAAGAAAGAACTATGGAAGTTGAATCACTCTCACTTATTTTTACCTTCTGTTGAGTTTTGTTTCATCTTTCTGGTGGTTCCTCCTATTGGTTTTAATTTTTACTTACAACTTCACTAATGTGAAAATATATTTAATGGGTATGTAAACGTAAAGCCTATGTCAGATTGTGTGCCATCTTGGGGACGGTGGGGGGGAGAAAAAGGGAGAAAAATTTTCAACTCAAAAGCATATGGGAAAAAAAATTTTAAAAAAAAAAGAAATTCCAGAAAAAAAGAAATATAGAGAAAGATAGCAGGCTGCCTAACTCTTACTGTGTGATAAATATGGTTTTGAAGAAGTGAACAAAAACAAAGCTGATAAAAAAATTACTAAATTAAAAACTTGCAAATGTAATATAGCAGGATATCTGAAATAGTATCTCTCTTATGACCAAGCATATTTGTGAACAAAATGGAGACTTTAATAGCACAGAAATATAATCAATATAATGAAACAATATAATCAATATAATAAAACATATTCATGAAAGAAAAAATAAAGACTTCATGCTTACCTCAATAGATGAAGAGAAAACTCAATAAAATACAGTGCTCATTTATGTTAAAAGTCCTTAATTGAATCTGTGATTGTATCAACTTGGAAGTTCCTTTCAGTGATTCAGATTGCAACTCCTCCATACCTGCCCATCTGGTGAGACTCATGTCTCTTTCCTCCCATAATTTTATGACAGGAGTTCCACTCAGTATACTGGAGACCTTCCTCTTTTTCTCTTGACATTGAAAAAGCATCATTGGAACATTCTGATTTTCCACTTGTCACCCTTCACTTTCAACATGTGACCTGCCCATTTTCTCTTCCTACTCTACAATTCATTCAAAGATGCTTATGCCTAGTTATTTACACATATATATTTATATATGTATGTGTGTATGTATACGTGTGTGTATGTATATATATATATGTATATAGTTATTTGTGGGGCATCTATGTGGTGCAGTGGATACAGTGTCTGGCCTGGAGTCAGGAGGACCTGAATTCAAATCCAGCCTCAGATACTTCCTAGCTATGTGACCCTGGCAAGTCACTTAACCCTACCTGCCTCAGTTTCCTCATCTGTAAAACGAACTGTAGGAGGCAATGAAAAACCATTCCAGTATCTTTGTCCAGAAAACTCCAGAGGGGATCATGAAGAGTCAGACACGTCTGAAAAATGACTATAATATAGTTATTTGGGTATTGCCTCCCTTAGCAGAATATCAGCTTCTTTAGGGAAATAATTGTTTTTAGCCTTTTTTTTTTTTTGTAACCCCAGTACTTAGCACAGTGCTCAGCAAATGCTTAATAAATGCTTGTTGACTGGCTGGTGTCAGAGGCTGCCCTCATGGATTAATTAGTCATTCAAACCATCTCTATCCACCTTCCTCCTGGGCAAGGGGATCTAGTCTAAACTGGATGAGGGCAGCTAGGTGCCACAGTAGATAGAGCACCAACCATGGAATCAGGAGGACCTGAGTTGAAATTCGGCCTCAGTCATTTACTAGGTGTGTGACCCTGGGCAAGTCACTCAACTCTGTTTGCTTCAGTTTCCTCATCTGTAAAATGAGCTGGAGAAGAAAATGTCAAACCACTCCAGCATCTTTGCTAAGAAAACCCCAAACGGGGTCATGGAGAGTTAGACATGACTGACCAACTGAACAGCAAC